TTTGTCCTACTTGTTTTTGGCGATCGAGGGACAGCCAATCGAAGACATGATGATGTTGAATCATCACCACGATGAGGTTGACACGACTGTCGATTACAGGGCCTGGTTGATACATCGACTCAGTGCATAAGTTGTACACCGAAAAGCGCATTCAGACGACCGGAAATTTGCCAGCCTCTGGCGTGATGTTCACGAAATCTCCTCCTGATAATCCAGTTTGTCATATTATTATTATTATTATTATTATTGTGTGTTTCTGGCGCTTTGAAGATGTCATTCTTGAAGTCCTTTAATTTTCCCACTTTTCATTTTTAAATTTTGGTTTTATCTCTGGGTCTACAAACCTTCACACACCCTCTGATCATTAATTATTGAAATAAAATCATCCCCAGCAGACTGCTGCAAGTATTTGACCGGTATGTTTAAACGCCACGCATCTGCAGCACAAAATTTCAAAGAACTTCGTGACACCTTGTGACACTGTGCGATTTCTTGCGTTTTATTGATGTATCAAAGAGATGTTAGCAAGAAGCATTATTAGAATTCCGTGTGGTTTCATTTTTGGACAATTTGTAGTCGCAATTTGTCCCACCATTCATTGTTCTTACCTCAGGAGCTAATTTAATAGAGATAATGCGCTATTAACTGAACAGTTTCCAACTTTGGTATTGATTCTGTGCTTATGGCTTATATTCTCAATGAATTTGCCCTCTACAATGCTGTCTTCCTTCTCTCATTACACTCTTGTCTCTGCTACCTACGACAAAAATGTTTTGTAGATCAAAATTGCATTTCCTGTGGCCTTATTTCATCATGCTGATCAGTGATTTCGAAGGACACGATAGTTTGCATTTACAATTTCTTGAGGGGGTATTAAATGTAATGTTTGAGCTTTCGGCCACACCAGCCTCTAAGTGGATTACTAGACCCTTACGACTTGTGTCTTGGAAATAAACCGAATTAAACGTCACCCTGTTGTGTAGTAAATTGAGTTTACCAAACTTGTTGACTGTAAAACAGGTGAGAAGTACAGCGAATTTGGTTAGTACAGTTTCCACTTGATTTCTCCCATAACAGTGTAGATTCAAAGCCGTGAAAGTAGCATTAAATCGCTTTTTTAAGAAATCACTAACCACCGACTTGACATCTGACCGTGGTGCCTCTGAAATCCGGTGACTTCTGCCAGAATTTGAAGCCGTCACTTAGAAAAAAAAACAAATTACCCAGTAGGAATTTTGGTGTAGGTTGCAGCCGTTCGCATCAATGTAGGAGACAAGTCGCCTTAATGAGACATTTGAAAAACAAGAAACTCAACGTGTGGACACCGCGATTAGAGTCGCTATGGTCTGTGTGGATGGGTCTGGCTTTGAACGTAAACGGATACACCTACACAACCGAGTCGATAAATTCAGTGGATGATTGTGTCAGTGTTGAGAGATCCTTTTCCTGATCTACCCAATCAGAACTAGTGGTCAGATTCCCATTCAAGGTCAGATGGGGAATGAAATTGATACACTGACAAACAAAGCATACTGTGTAGAATACCCGAGCCCTAATAGGTAAAAGACCGGTACAACAGAACAGGCTTTATTGACCAATCAGAAGCCAGAGCCACGCGTCAGGCGCCTTTCATCCGAGTCCACCACGCTGGCCACGCCGCTCTTTATATACTGCTCCTCAGTCATGTCCTTCTCTGGTTGGCTGCCTTCCTTTCCCGCATGCCATTGGATCGCAGAGAGACACGGGATTGGCTGAGGCCAGGTAGTCCAACATGTCTGCGCCCTAATCCGACGCCACAACTGTGACGTACTGGGGCGCAGACATACTGGATTACGCCAAGCTCATCCAATCCTCTGTTTCAGTGTTTTTGAATGGCCTAATTTCTACACCTCCTCCTAGATTCTCATCGGCCCTCATTTTTCATCCAAGCCACAGGGTTTAATCACAGATTACGTCTTCTGAGTGGATACAAAGTTGTGTTTAGGAGATAACAATCCTCGTTGCCTTGACGGGTTGCCTCGAGGTAATAAAATGTGCTTTTTTTAATTACCCGAACATCTGCGGCATTAGGCTATGCTGTTTGGCTAAAAACCACAATCTATTCGACCAGCAGTGACGTTAACAAACAGGTGCACACAAATCAGACGTTCATCTGGACGTAACCATAAACAATTAAGACAAGACTAGCAACGAATATAAAGTCTGCAATCACAAGCACGCCAACTCGTAGTAAAGGCGATATTTTGGTGCTACAAGTAGAAGCGTTATTGAGCGCGTCATTCTCTCTTCTTGCCACATCGCTTTTATCATTTCATCCGTACAACAACTTCGCCTTCATATATCGATGTGCTTGTCAACTCAGCACGCTAATATTTAAATACGTATAAACCCAATTACTTCTAATCATATCCGCCGCATTGAGTCCTCTCAAATCGTATGTCCTGATGCGTGTTTAGGTTGCTTTGGGCTCCAGCATGTGTTCTGGAACCACGTCGGGACCATGGAATTAACTCTGGCCCGATTACATTTCCCTGATACCCGCGACGAAGAAAAAGATTGGGGAGGACGTGGACACAACCGTTTACTTCAGAGCTCAACCACGTTGATATCGTTGTGTCGTGTGTGGGGTTTGCTCGCGTGCATTTATACCTCAGATGCGGGAGTCTTACATGGCCTAAGATAAATATTCGTGCGACAGAGGATTTCCCTTTTTGCAGCATGTCGCCAGCCTCACGGATCCTCAACTTTCCCTCATCAGCCCGAACATTTATCCTAGATTATTATCTGTTGGCTGACACCTCACATTGTCGTCCGCGTGAATTGATACGGAAGTTAGCACGCAGGTAACTACTATGCAAGTAGTAAATAGCCCTTAATTACTTCCAGGCTGGAATCATGTTAGATCAATTCTAATCTAATAGACCGAATATCTAAGTATAAAAAAAATAATTTCTATATTTTGAAGTTAACACTTTGAAGTCAAATAGTTTGTCGCCTTTCGTAACATTATCATGTGTACAGGTACATTCACCGTTCCTTTTCTTCGTAACTCCAAAAAGTTTAAAAAAAAATAACTTAATTATATTTCTACAAGATTGAAATAAGGGTTGCATATACCTAAATTTATCAATTTTTGCAGCAATGAAAATGGAACTAGCTGACCACTACGGTCAATATTTGTGTAACGCGAGCCCTATGTGATCATTTCATCGCTTATACAGCTTCATCTTTTGATGCCTTTTGAACAACGACTTTATCAATGAACTTTGGACAATTCCATATCAACAAAATAGAGACCTATGTTCACCAATATGCTACATTTGTTTTTTGCATCGTTGGTAATGACCTCCTTGTCGTATGCCACCTTGGTTGATGTGCTGATGATTAAAATGATCGTGCAAAGCAATTCGTTATCATCTCTGCAACTTAAGGATTGACGGTTCCTAAAAAAGTCAAATTCATGAACAATGAGCAATATTGTGAGCTCTAATGTATCATCAGTGCCACTGAAGTATGTAAGGAATATACCAGGTTCTCACCAAAGGGAGACCAAAATTCTATTGAACCTGCGGTGTGATAGTGGATGCTACTTGCTTCTGCGACATTAATTCATTACACTAAAAAATTATTAAAAAAAGGTAGTAGAAAGTATACTTTGAAAACAATTCAGTCACTGTACGCATAAAACTGATACCTTCACAGTCGGTTGATGAGTAATGCCGAAATACCGTTTCCAGTCCTCCTGGTACTATAAAAAAATGTGAAAAAGTAAACCCATTACTTTCAGCATTTTTGTGCTTCACATCACAGTGTTTTTAAACGTAACATTGACAGCAGATTTAATCAAAACTAAGCTACATAATTAATAGTGATTTGTGCAAACAGAATGCGCCTTATGACTGTAGAGTAAGGCCGTGGCTGAAACCCAATGCTTAAGTAAGTTCTGCAAACGAATTACGAGAACAGTTGTTAGGCTCGAACATTCGAAGATTCCGCTCCCAAGTTCTCTGAGCAAATTATTTACTTTCACACAAACGAATCAATCCACAAATTTTCTTGCAAAAGTATCTTTCGTGAACATACAAACGCAATTCAAACAGCTAATAGATATCTGCAATATTCCTGTTTTGTTATAAAGTCTCACTTTATTTTTATAAAGCCAGGGCTACAATTGAACAACTTACTGTATGGGCCGGTGGCAGAGTGAGGCGAAGCAATTAATCACCGTTATATTAATAATACAATGAATAGAAAATCGCCGAACAGTATTTATTAGTTACATTTTATAGTCTACGCAAGTAAAAAAGGATAAAAAAGGGTGAAATATATTTTAAAACTCAACTTTCATAAAATCGCCTAACAAAATAACGATGAAGTCAACGAGAAATCAGCCAACATGAAGTTTGTGCAGCATAAATTCAATTCAAAATTCTTGCTGTTAATATATTCTATATGATAAAGAAAAGTAATGAGTAACAAACTTTTGATACTGTTTCTAAATGGTTATTATATTGTGTTTTGTACTAGATATTCGATTTAAAGTTCGCCAAAAAATTGTATTAAAATTTAAAAGGAAAATTTTGGCATCTATTTACCCAATGTTTAATGATATTGTTTTTTAGATATCTAAAAAATTTGTTTAATTTTCAAAAGTTGATAAAGTCATTCCAAATCTCGCTTGTTTTAGTGCACGTTTTTTTCAAGCGCGGTCTTTGGACTTGATGAACTCTAAAGATGAATCTGGGATCGGGGAGAAGCTCTGTGTGCTATCCAATGAGGTTTCTAAAATCGAAGGCGGACTCCTTGGTTTTAAAAATGTGTATAACGCAAAGATGGATAAACACATAGCTTCCTTGTCCGCATTCAATGAGGAAATACAAACCGGAAATTTTTGTAAATATCTGAATTTATTTATGTATCGTGTATCTCTCGCAAAATTTTAACTTAGTTGGCTGTACGTAGTTACAGTCTGTAGGTCCTTTTTGTAATTTACTTTTCTGATGTCCTTTTTGCCCTGTCTAAGTTTGTAATGGTCAACTCGTATCCCTATTATTGATTGCAATATAATATCTTGTTTATCCGTCATGCTAGCATGTGGGGTACATGCTAGCATCTAAGCGCTGACATTATAATTTCTTGCAAACTGCGCTTGTATGTATTTCTCTAAAACAGTGCTATTTTATCTAATTATGTGCGATTGTTTAATGTGTCTCCCCCCAATGAATATTTGCCCAATGGTTTTCTGTTATTTAAATAACGCCCCTTCTTTATGTAGGTGATGATCTTTCTGATGAATCAAAGACGAAGATAGAGTCGTTGTTGACCAACATAAAAACAAATTTTTCCGACGCCCTCAAGAAGCACCGAGATGTTCACGCCAGCATTTCGAAATTTAAAAAATCCGTCGACAAGGTACGTCAAATTTTAGAAATTCATCGGCACAATTTTTTTTAGACATTTGTAGATGACACGTCCAATGTTGCTTCATACTTTACAACCGACACCAACAATGTTCCCTCACACAATGCCACTTTTGATCCGCCTCCGAATTCTCCTCTTTACAAGACTGCTGATAGCATGACAGAAGACGAGTTGTTTTCTGCTGTTATCATCGAAGAGCTCATTCGTAACGGTCACGGCTCGGTGGCCACCAAACTTGCCAAGGTATGGCTTTTCAGCCTCCTTCTCAATTTGCAATTTCCCTCCAGTTGTGCAAACACCAGCGGTCCAGAAGTACATGTGTATGTTTATTTGTAAGAAATCTACATATACCGACCAGTTGTCGTTTCTTTTCGTAGGAGGTCGGGTTTTCCGAAGAAGACATTGGTCTCAAACAGTTTCGAGAAGTTGGTGCGATGGTTGTCGCTCTCAAAAACGGAGACTTGAATCCTGCGAAGAAGTAAGTTATCCGTGTTTACCTTGTTTCACTCTCGTTTTTTATCCACGCTTGTATATATTTATTGCAGTTTCAGAATACCATAACTTTGGTTTGTTATTTTTGATCGCAACTAAAGAAAACGAATTAGCCATCGCCATCTTGCCTGTTTAAAAGTTGCGTCTAGTGACCTATGCCCTAAACTTTCTAGCAATCCACATTACGAAACACGCAAAACAATTCACGATGTCTCGTTCATGTCAGAACTGACTGTTAAAAATGACAAGTAGTCCATTTTGAGTGAACTATAGAGCTTTGCTGTATATGGTTATGTCGGCGGTTGACTTGCAGCATTCTTACAATAACATTCATTTAGTATTTGGCCCAGCCTCTTTGTTAGAAGATGCTACAAATTTTCTGGGAGCAGTGTCACTCAGTAGAGGGTGTGCCGTCGGTCGAGCTTTCATAAATTTGCGTCTTTTTAGATGTTAGAACTTTTTAAATGTTAGATGACACCAAAGACGATAATTGGCCGAAAGCCCTCGGAGGGAGCTGTGAATGTGGTCTTTAACAAAGACAGTAGTGTGTCCATGCGTTGTTTTAAACAGGTATCGATGACTGCTACCCTAAATTCACAACTATTTTCATCGTTAGCTGCCAACCAAACTTAAAACACGCACACAACGCATCCGTAGCCCCAGTACAATTAGTCCTTAGCAATTTAGCCCACCTAGTACACACACACGGACACGAGCACGGAGGACACATCTCTAGTCCGTTGCAATTGGCCCTACATTATTAATTGCGGCGTCTGCTTGCAGATTACCATAGTAGTAATTGATGTAAGATACTTTGGCGAGCTTTTCATAAATAGGCGTTGTTATGTAATTCTGCTTGACTTTGCGTTGCCTCTGACGTTGTTGGCGTGGTCGTTTTCAGTTGGTTGGCTGCCAGCGCCGAGACGCTGGGACCGAAGGCCAAGCAGTTGGAGTACGTGCTAGCGAAGCTGGAGTTTCTCATGGAGGTCCAAAAGCACGCCAACGACCCAGCCGGCGTCATTGCTTGTCTGCACAAAATCGTGCCTTACGCGCCCGACTTCCCCGCTGGTAAGTCACGTCCCATCTCCAAGCATTCAGCCTGGATTGGTTGGTTAGCTGTCTCGGTGGCACCTCGGTTTGCTGCTATGGCTCCGATTACTGTCCAATGACATTTTGCGTTAATCCCAGCCCCTAGAACCGCCATCTGGCCATCATTACTGTCTGTGGAAATTGTGTCAACCACGAAACAGGCAATAATCTGGTAATGCCGAGGCCTGAGCTACGTGTGTGGGGGCGGTTACATGCTTTGTCAACCAATATTTGATATGTTTTCCCACGAGTTGTTAATTTCGTCAAATTCTTGCTGGTTCATGACGGTACGACTACGAGCCAAGTAACCGTAGATGATGTCATTGTATTTGCGATACGCATCTCAAACGCTGTTTGGTTGTGTCGAGTGAATTGCATTCAATTTTTTATACCGCAACCAAGTAACGGTGTTTAAATGTTTGTCAATTTTTTGCGTGCTGTGCGATGCACTCAATATCTCTGCTAGTGGCAGTTGATAATTAGTGATTAAAAAATTCCCCAGAACGGAATTCCACAAACTTGTTCCGACGCACCTATTTTGATTAGCAATAAAAACATATCGCCCTAGGAGCAGCAGCAGTTTTCTTGGCTTTACAGAAATCCAGATGTTTCATTCTGGCGCTTCACGTTACAAAACTACCTTCAACCACGCGTAGTAAATCTAATTATGCGTAATTTGTTTTCACCGTAGGCTGATGCGGACTTTTAATCAAGGTGTCATGTAAGTGAGAGCTGAACATTGCTTAGACTGGGTCCAATCCTACGGTGTAGGCGTTTTTTAGCACGGCCTCATCCTATCGCCAACTTCTACTTTGTGAATTGTTGAATTAAATTACAGCCCAGATTATGACTTAGTGTGTTTGCAAGTCGATGGAACTGCGGTAGCGAACGAACAAGGCCAGTACACGCCCGTCGTGTTTGCCCAGGTTATTTTTCGGTCCGGCTAAAGTTGGCTTAACCTCGTTCCCTCTCTCCTTATCCAGACTTCGAGCATGTGATGGGAAGTCTGGTGTTCTTGGGACAAAGCCTGGAGAACACCCCCTACTCCGATCTCTCCCTCAAGTCACCAACCAAGGGCACGGACGCCTCAGCGTCCACGGGTTGCGCGTGGGACCACTTTGGCAGCGCCGGTGGCGTCTCCTTGCCCCTCCTGCCATTGGTTAGTCTGTGTGACACCGAGGAGGACGCGACGGCGGCGGCGGGGGCGGAGGGGGACATGTGTCCGATGGAGGGCGAAGCCAGTCCGAATGCGTTCGTCCGCGCCGCGCACCTCTTCGGCACCGTGGCCTGCGCCCAGCTCTCCCTCTCCAGCATCGACCCGCTGAGAACGGCGTTCGCGTCGGGCTTGAGGGTGCTGCCGAAGTTGCACAAACTCCAGCGTGCCTTCGCGTGGCTCACCAACTACGCACCGGGCAATTCTGACGGCACCCACACGCTGCCTGTACGCTTGTTTGCCTCGTTTGTCATTGCTCTTAGCAGTGATTATTTGCGATTAAATGGATAGTAGTAGTAGTAGGTGTATGACGTGCTTTGTACAGATTATTCTTCTAGCTTAAAATTATACTTAAAATAGAGAGATTTTCGCAGCCTCTCGGAATAGCGGAGCTTACGGTGGCAGCTGGTAAACAGCGCACATGGTGGTGCTGCATTTTACACGATTTCCGACAAGACGAAATGCTTCTAAAACACGGTAGTCAATTTGTACTACTCTTGGCGCCGAAGTTGTGTTTCCTCTGAAACCCATAATTATTGGTGATTTCGATCTTAGTGATCAGCCGCGCAGCGGACAGCTTTGGAAATTTGAATGTTGCGGAATTGCAAGCTCTTCTAGACGAGGAATCAACGCAAACACAGCAAGAGCTTGCAGCTCCGTTTGGAGTCGCTCCAATAGCTATTCCCAAGTTTTTTCGCCAAATGTGAAAATTCAAAAACTTGACCAAACACAACCGAGGTCTCGAAAATTACTTACTAGAATTTCATACCTAAAATTGTCGTGGTCAACCCAGTACATTGACGCCGAAATAAGACGTCCACTTGAAGAAGGTATCTGTGTATCTGGTAGGACATGAAAGCTGCACTTTGTTAGAAGCTTCTGGAAGCTGGTTGTCAGATCACCATCTAGTGATTGCGGAACGCTCCAGCCGAGAGTTGAACAAACTGAGCGTATAACTTGATGGAAAACTGCCGGTTAGCGGGTTAGGAAGCAGGCAAGTCATACTGCTGCTGCATGTCAGCGCACGACCACCTCACGTTGCTCGCGCGATTCAGAAGGTCCTCTGGAACTTGGAATGGAAGTTCACCCACACGCGGCGTATTTACTAGACTTGGTCTCATCCAACTGCCATTGGTTACGGTCATTGCAGCAGCACGGCTTAGTGGATAAATAGTTCCTGAACCGTTGGAGACGATGTGCGTAAATTCGTCGTCGATGATGACTTGGTTGCCTCGAAGCCTGCAAATTTCTTTGGCAACGGTATACCTGCGTTACCTGAGACATGGCGCAAGGTCATAGGGAACGATGGACAATATTTTCAAGATCAAGTTCGCTGTCCTCTTTATTTATGTATTTAATAAATTTGCTTAGAAATCTGTAAAAATTAGGCCCTGCACCTAACACATCCTTTGTCCAACTTTCAAAAATCCTTTTGTCTGGCGATTTACTTTCAATAAACCCATCATAGCTTGCAAGAAATGTGAAGATTAGTAGAGGATCGGTGGCTGGGTGTCGCCCACCCTCGATTTTGTGGTTGTCTGACTGAAATAAGCGTGCCTTGATTTCCTCGTCTGGCAAATTGTGATTAATGACTTGTCGCGTCTACACTACGCTGATCAAGTCTGGCTCTGCCATAATACGGAAAGAGCCACAGTGAAGTCGGCAATCGATTTTCGTAGACATTGCGATTCACGCGCTTTTGGTTAATGCGCATTTTTTTGTATTTAAAAAAAACACAGATTTCCATAGACCTGGATACGTTGGCACATCGACACAACATCTTCCACTGCCCCGTGATCAAGGAGGTCTCCACGATGTCCAACCCACCTGTCCGACTCAACTGCGGCCACGCCATCTCACGCGACGCCTTCAATTCCCTGGCCACGTCGGAACGCAGGTCAGTCGGCCTCCTCTCCTTGCCTCCACAACCACCCCACTGCGTTGGAGGCACGGATCATTCATTCACTCATTTGACCAATGATTCGAAGCTTCTAACGCCTACCCTCAAAATTCTGAGCACTTTTTTAAAAGTACACTGGTACTAATTAGTGCCACCAGCTCTGCGGCCCTCTTGTAAGCCTAACCGTCTTGGTTTGCCTTCATTTTCGCCAGGGGCAGGTAAGCGCAAGCGGCTTTAGGTTGTCTAACGCATTCCCGCGGTTCTGTTTGTGGCCATAACCTGATCCTGTGTTTCCGCGCACAAACACTTGGTCCTGGCGACTTCGGTCAAAGTTGTCTCGCCAGCGGCCTAATTTCTCGCCATTTCACTAACGCCGCCGCCGCCGCCTCCTCGACCCACCACCAAGCAGTTATGGTTTGATCGATGCCATTAATTGTTTGTGTTTGTTTCCAGGAAAATCAAGTGTCCCTACTGCCCGAAGGACACCAACCGAGACCAGGTGATGACCCTGTACTTCTGAGGGGTCACGTTGGGCACACCTTGGCATCGCTCTCAGTGCAGGCAGCTTCCGAACCAATCGCTCCTCTCTCTCTCCCTTTCTTTTTTTCTTCTTACCAACTCCTTCAGCGTCGTTGTAGCGTGGTTGCACGATGATCTGGTGTTTCGGAGCACTGACAATGATCATTTGCGTTTTACTAACTTGACGACATTCGCACAAATGCACCCACTCGTATCACACGTGTTTCGCTCTCTCTCTCTCTTTGTGTGTGTGTGTGTGTTTGTGTGCTTCTTTACGTCTGTATACTTACAAGTACACTTTGCCTTGTTTTAATGTTGTTGCGTGGATCGTGAGTGGAAACGAAGGTTGCGAGTTCGCGTGGCGGCCTTCACCACGAACCACATCACTGACCAGAGTTCAAATCAAGTCAAATTCACTCACGTTGATGAGTTAACGTGCATCAGGACTCAAATCACCCCTTCTCGTTAGGTCGTGAGAAAATGCATTGGATAGAATCGTTTTCTGGGAGCTGTAGCGGTTTGCGAATCAGCAGGTTCGAACTGGCGTGTACTTCGTGGTCAGACGGTTCCATTCTTCTTACGGCGAGCCTAATTAGCATCACCCACAGTAGCCACACTCGTTGATTTCACAATTTTGCAAACCTGGACAACCGTGAGTCCCACGCATCTAGCTGTTCAGTGAATGGCCAGGTTTTCTTAGATCATCGATCTCTTAATCCCCGTGATACCCCAGCCGAGTCGAATTCTCAAAAGGTCCTATTTCAGTGGGAGGTCAATTCAACTAGGCTAGCTAGTTGTTCTCCGACAAGGTTGCCATCTGACTACGATTATCGATTTAAATGTAATGTCTAATTATCAAAAAGCGTCGTGTCAGTGCACGCAAGGGTGCATTTTGGTTAAAATTTCTCGTCATATTCGAGTTACAGAAGAGGTTATTTCCGTGGTGCGATCACAAGCCTCTGAACGTCCTTCCGAAATTACTGTCCACCAATCTATGCATTGTGGTCAAAATACTGCAAACTATGAGCCCATAAATTGCCCAATAGTAATACAGAAACATGACGATGACGTGTGTGCTGGGAGTATCTTTGGATCCAAACTATTTACCGGTCGCTTTAGTCGCCAAAATACGGGCATAGTGGAATTTTGAAATCCCTGCCTTAATAAAGTCACATTCAATCGATTTGAGGCATGACTAGGCTCTTATCTATCTCATCTCTAAGCTCATTCCCCAGACCAAAGTTAGTATTATCTGCCGTTATCAAAAGTGGAGTCACGTTGCAAATTCACACCCATTTAGCACACAGATGGCCGTGAAAGTAGTAAAAGAGCCAGAGTTCGGTGGAAACTCAACCGTTTGTTGACTGCCGCAGCTCCAGTTGTGGTGTGTCGGTGTGCTCAGAATATCGTGATATTCGCATGTGACATAATCGGTCCAGTGCAACATCACGGCACCCGGTGTAGTTCAAGGATACATGCCGAAGCCTTCAGCAATTGGTGAGCACTAATTTGAGGGCACCTGGTATTCAACGACCTGGCAGCTGGCTTCATCATTCACTCTACCAGATGTAGTCTCTGGCTCCAGTAATCTGAAAACGCTAATCACCTCAGATATCTCGCGGCGGCCACACCAGTCATCTAGCCTGACTCCTTCAATTTTATCAGCCTCACTTCGGATCCCAAATCTCCCTCCTAACGTGATCTAGCCTCATCACTCTGCCCTCATTTTCCTCGACATTCGATGCTTGTCGGGTATTTGATAGCCTTTAATTATTACAGTTGGAAAAAAGTGAATCGCCAATTTCCTTTGCCAAGAATTCTGTTGATTTTATGTCCATCATTCGCCGACACACTACCCCACCCCTTCCCACAGCGTGTCCGTCAGTCATACGGAGACTTCTGCTCATCCAACTCCTGTGCATTCATTCCATTCATCTACTCAGTCATTCGTGCTTCTGTTATTTCATCCAAGCTACATTGGTCAACAACTGCGTTCGTCGTGCAGGACTTGAACTCCACGCAGACGAAGACACAACTTGGTTGAGCCATCTAACAAACGATAGTTTTCGGCGTTTCCCATAGAGGCTATCGAAGAACATCACTTTGCAGTGTCTAAAACAGCGAAATGTGCTCTGAATTAAAGTCGAAAGCCGTTACTTAATGAACTACTGAATTATGTACCTGAGTAAAAGAGAGAAGGACAAATTTAAAAAAAAAACTGATAAGCGACCGGAGAAAACCGCCCCCCCAAACATCTCTTGTTGCACGACTGGGAAAATTATTAGGTGAAATTATACGAGGTCCAGGGGTTTGTTTTTCGGCGTACCAATCAGGTTCATGCGTTTGTTTTTCTGCTGAGGGACATTCTTCATTGGTTAACTTGGTACACAAAAGCGACCTTAGTAGAGTGCCAGAATTAAGCGCGCTCGAAAAACCAACCAGGTGTTCGCGCTGGGTGGAATAAGGTCACCAGGTCACTTTCGATGCTGTTTTCCAATCAGGTTGGTTCAGAGAAGTGCCAAAGCAGCCAATGTCACATTTGACCTTAAATCTCACTTTGCACACGTATAATCAATTGATGCTTATGTTTTTTGGGCTTAATCAATCAAGACTTAGTTTACTTCGAATCGAGCTTTCATTTTCTCCTGTAATTCAATTCTTAATTTTTGAATAAAGGGAATAATTAACTGGCCAGTTGATTGGGTTGATTTGGACAGTGGAAGTAGTGCGAGAGTTGCCTGAGCTAGACTGGTATAACTAGTCCAATTCTTGCTTTGTTGTAACGCGCCTACCGAGCGGGAACCTAAATAGGGAGATGACTGTTAGCCCGTCCCTCTTAGA